GCCCGGGCGGGGGTGGGGGTGGGGTGTTAGGGAAGCTCATTAAATCTGCATGGGCTGGCCCCGGAGCTTTTTGTGGTGAACACCCGAGAAGGCTAGCTTCTTAAGGCTCTCAGCTCCCTAGTTATTCTTCCCGAGATGCTGAGGGTAAACTTAATTCTATCCCTTGCTCTGATCCTGTCTCAAAACCCAACACTAACCTTAGGTGTTGCCCTAACACTGGCCCTACCTCTTTACGACTTAATCCTGAACCTTACTCTTAATATAACCTAACCCTACACCTTTTGCCATAAACCGGAGCCTAAATCTTACTATGCCCTAGGCCTTAGCCCTAGCTCTAACCCTAACCCTAACCCGAACCTCTAGTCCTTACACTAATGCTAACTTTAACTCCAGCTCGTACCTAGCCCAGTCCCTAGACCTAACCCTAGCAGTATCCTTAAACTCTTACCATAAGCCTAACACTATCCCTAAACTCAAACCCTAACCCTAACCCTAACCCGAACCTCTAGTCCTTACACTAATGCTAACCCTAACCCTAACCCGAACCTCTAGTCCTTACACTAATGCTAACCCTAACCCTAACCCGAACCTCTAGTCCTTACACTAATGCTAACCCTAACCCTAACCCGAACCTCTAGTCCTTACACTAATGCTAACCCTAACCCTAACCCGAACCTCTAGTCCTTACACTAATGCTAACCCTAACCCTAACCCGAACCTCTAGTCCTTACACTAATGCTAACCCTAACCCTAACCCGAACCTCTAGTCCTTACACTAATGCTAACCCTAACCCTAGCAGTATCCTTGGCCCTAGCGCTAACATCCTAACACCAAACCTAACCCCACCACCTACACTCTAAACCTGATCGCTGAGAGTGAGGTTGGTTTCTAGGGACACCCAGTAAAGCTCAGAACCGCTGGGCCTCAGTGTTCAGAAAACGCAGCCCCCAGGAAGCTTGTTAGTCCGTGTGGTCAGGCTTCAAAATCATTAGGTTAAAAAACAAAAACAAAAAAACTGAAGCCTTTGTACAACTTCCCCCACACGCCTTTTAATGTGCTCCAGGTTACTGAGCCTCTGGACCGTACAAGTTTAAGATTACACGCTTCTAAAATGGTGTACTTGGGGAATGTCAAAAGGAGCGAGAAATGCATGGGTTAAATTGCACTGAATCCAAATTGGTTATCCTGGGCCACTTGTAAAAGCCCAGGGACTCCTGGCCTCCCACCTTAGAGCATGGATACTCGTTTGGAAGCTGCTCAGACCTGCCTGGGAAGGCCTCCGAGGCTTTTAAAAAACTGCTGTGCCCACAGTCCTTATGGCTCCCAGCACTCCCCACAGGCTGCCCCGGCGACTGCTTGGGGCTCCAGCCCCACTCGTACGTGGTGACCTGTGGTCACTACTGTGTACAAGGGTAATGCTGAGTAGAATCGAGACTGCGTGTGCTGAGGTGAACTGAGTTCCACGTGGCTCCCTAGGGTCACCCAGAGTTCTAGAACTTGAGGCCTGCTGCTCAGAGCAAGTAAAGTTTTCCATATCTTATTAGCCATGCCTGGGCAAAACCCCTTGGAGCTAGGGCCATTGTCTGGGGTCCCCAGGGCTGTGCCACCAGAACAGTGACCAGCTGGCTTCACAGGGAGGCTCAGCCCAGTCGAGTAGTGGAGGCTGATATCGGCTCCTGCACCTGTCCCTCAGCCTGTCCCTTCTTATTCTGCAAGTCTCCCTGGACACCTAGTATCCACCCTAGCGGTTTTAACTCACAGATGTTTCTTCAGCTACACTGACTTCTTGAACTTCATGTACATAGTGTCAGCTTTAAAAGGAGGCAGAGACATTACAAGTGAAATGAAAGTGGTTTGTTTGAGTCAGGGCTTAGGACAGATTCATCAGATGTGCTCATCACACGGCTACAGAGATGGTCACTAATGGTTTGTGTAAGAGAAGGGCCAGCAGAGAGGAGGTGCAAATGGTCAGGTGTTTACACTGGTCCATTTAAAACGAGGCAGGCGGCTGGTTGGCTATACCGTATTCTTTACATCATGAGCTAGAGAACACTGGGATGAGAAAGGGTAGGGTCACAGTGAAGTCATGAATCATTGGTAGCATCAGTTTCCTGGAAACTAAGATACTCCTTTTGGGCAGGAACCCCGATGGCGCACATTGTAAATGTAACTGAATTCCACAGATGTTCTGAACTGCTTCTCCTTCACAAACGTTCCAGCTGCCTACCTCCCAAAAAACATCAAATGTCACATGAGTGAAGCTGAGATTCCCAGAGCCAGTTGAGGACTGTCCAGCTGGTCCAGGTGTGGACCTAGGACCTGGCACCCCAGCTTCCCCTCGCTGCCACTGCCACAGGGTGTCCTGCCTCAGAGGTGTCCCTGCTCCATACCTGATCTGCCGTTCAGACTCCAGCCAGCCTAGCAGTTGGGGGTGCCTTACTACTTTCTGATGCCAGCAGTCCCCTCCTGTCCCCCACGCTGCAGGACTGCTTTTGACAACACAGCTCTGAATGTGTTAAGTCTGTAAGCCTTTAGTGTTTCCTCTTTGATTCTTAAATAAATGACTAGATCCCTGGCATGTCTTCTGAGAGCCTTCACCAGCCTCTTCACCCTGGAGTACCACCTTTACAGTGGATTGGACTCTTGACCCTTCCACACAGCATCCACGAAACACTAAGGAAGTTGCTTAGCCCTGCTCAGCCTCGGTTTCCTTATCTGTCAAATGGGGGTTATAATATCTACCCCGGGGTTTTGATGAAGACGAGCTTAGTGCCTGGTGCGTACTATGTGCTGGATAGAAGCCACTGCTGACTGTCACCCTGCGCACTCAAACTACGCGGTCGCCGTCCTGCTCATTTCCGAGCACTGCATGCAGTTCCTTTCCCTCCGGCTCCTGATGCCGTGCGGGTGTCTGGGGTGCATTTTCTGCATTGCTTTCCCTGCCAAGCTGCTGCATTTGGGTCCCCTGGAAGAATCCTCCTTCAGAACTATTTCCTGGTAGGCTCTCTAGCATGTTAAGTTTTCCATGTGCCTGCCGTGAACCGTTGCGGTTCGTTGTAAACAGTGACAACTGCCATTTACTGACTTTTCCGTAGCTTGCACACGGGGAGACCCTTTACCACACCTTTCACGGCAGTCCTGTGTTATCAGGCTGGAGAGGAGGCTTCCATGTATGGGGTCGAGTCCGGATATTAGCCCGGCTTTACTGACCGACACTTAGTGGTCTTTATGCTCTCAGAGGCTGCTTTTCTTGTGTCAGAAATGTAAGATGGCAAGCTCCTCGTGGACGATACCCCTTTAGCCCTGGCTTTGTGTCACTAGCACTGACAGTGGCTTCCCCACCGCGTGTTCTCAGAATGTTTGCTGAGTGAATAAGTGATGTATTTCTTTCTCTTCGATGTAAGCCTGTAGAGCAGCAATCATCTCTTCTTAACAGTTAAGAAAACAGAGATTTGGTTTGTCTAGAGAAGTGTGTGGTTTGACAGATGTCCCAAGCTAAGTAACAAGTCATCGATAGGGTCTAGGTCTCCTGCCACCAGGTCTTTGTGTTTTCTGTTTTGTTTTGTTTTGTTTTTTTAATTGGGCTTTGGTAGTGGTGATCCAGAAATGAAATCAGAAGTATTGACATACATTTCAAACTATGTGTACGAAATAAATGGGAGACCGCATGCGAGAGAAAGGGGCAGCAAAGATGCAAGAACGTTTTTAGGAGGGTGAGCGTGGTTACGACAGAGGATGGATGAAGCACGTGAAGCGGTCCGTGGACCATTTCTCCTGAGCCGCGATGCCCAGTACCCTCCCTTCTGCAGGATCTCTCCTGATGACCCCCAAGACTTCCCATCACGCTTTAGTCTTGTCTTTCTTTTACCTTCTTAAGTTGAGAATCATCTGTTGGCTTCTTCCGATTGGAATATTAGGCAGCTCCGTCGTCCCCAGGATTCTATGGCCTTGTGAGACTAGGCCTCAGGGACCTCGCCTTTCTCTTGCCATTCTTATAAATGCTGAGTGAAGTTTATCCCAGAGGACCGAAAAGGGCATGAGGACGTGGGGTGAGTATCCCGAGCATCTGGAGGATGAGTTTATGAGAGCGAAGGGCTGTTCTACCCCGCTGCTTTGTGGCCACAGCAGGTACGACGGCATGTCACGTAGGGCTTTCTGAGCATCTGTTTTGTAAGATGTTCTGTGTGGGGCACGCCCACGCCCCCTTGGGGTGGATGTGAGGGACACCCCTGTCTCAGTGATGTCTCAGCCACGAAGCTGCTGCCTTTGCAAGATGTTCTAAACCTTGATCTAATAAGACTTTCTGCACCTTCATAGATGCTAAACGCTGTGCTTAGTGCGTCTGTGGTCCTCACACTGTGTCCCACTGCCCACTTGTGACTGGGACCCAGACGGATGTGACCCGCGGCTGGAATCTTGGCACTCGTTTCCAGATCATGGGAAGGAAAACCAATTCGTGTTTAGAAGTTCTCAGTTTGAAGCGTTTTATTGTACAGGTTTTCAAGCCGAGTGCCGAGTACTTGTAGGAAGCATTGAATAAAGTGACCGTCTCTCTTCCCCTCTCCCCCTCCTCTCTGCTATGCCCCTGGCCTTCGCCTCTGCCCCACTCCTAGCAGCTCCTTCCAGCAGAACACTCCCTTTCTGAAACCGGTGTGTTACCACCCAGGTTTTACAGGTAACACTGTAGGGCCTCCAGTATGCTAGAAATGACAGGACTCCAGCCATGCAGAAGACTTTGGAAGGAGGACTGGAGTCAGGGTGAAGCACTGTCTCCCGAATTAGAAGTGAGGCCGCCGACGGTAGGGGAGTGCTGTTGGCAGAGCCTCTGGAAGGACCAAGAGACTTGCTGAGGGCGTCGTGAGCAGTAACGCGTCACCGGAGGCTGGAGAGACACATTTTCATTTTCACTCTGTGGCACAGCATCTTGTAATAGCTATGCAAAGCCTCCTCCAGGGTCAGGCTCAAGTGACAAAGGTGAGGGACGGGTTGAGGTCTGAGGAGGACCGATATCGTTAACTGCAAGGCTCAGAGCCGTGCAGAGAAAGGCTGCGGCCTCCCATCTCTGTCAAGCTTTATTGTACCTGGCCCAACTTCTCGGTTTCAGTGGTGCACACACGTTGTGTTTGTTTTCTGTCTTCTTTGCGTTTTCATGACACACATTTAAAGAATAGTCATTCGAAGGAGCACCTGGTTCCTAACTTGTCTGAGATTCCACATGTTTCTGGATCGTCCTGATTTGGGGTTGGCAGAATAATAGCAAAAGCACTGAAGAAAAATCATTGGTTGGGACCAGCAGGTGGCAGAAGGGTTACATCACTGGATTCCCACATAGTTAATCGCAGTGAGTCCCCAACGTGGCAGCTTAAAACTCACACCGGGCACATGTGCTTGCAGGCCCAGAATCCCAAGGGGAGAATAGAGGAGAAGGGATTGTGGCATGGCCATCCCCTCCGGAGGGGGGTGATTTCTTGCTTTCTGGTCTCTCTCTCTTTCTATGTGTCTCCAGCAAGCACATGCACACTATACCAAAAAAACAACTCGCTAAAGAAACGAAAAATCGTTTGTTGAGAAGATTTAGAGTTGAGAGTGTGGCAAGGCGGGAATGCTGCCTCAACGCCACCTTTTCTCAACACATACTCTTCCTATCAGCATGTGTTGGAATCAGCGAGTAGTTCCGTGTATCTGGGTCTGATTTGCCTCCTCTAGTTTAAACTGCACAGGGAAATCACGCCTGTTTTAGAACATGTGTTTTTATTGTCCCGGGCCTAGTGAAGCACTGCATGCTTTATTGGGTTTATTAACCTCTTGAGGCTTTTCACAAGGAACACCCGAGTTAATCTTGGATGAACCTCTGTTTCTTCCTCAGATCGAGCGGAGGAGAAACCCTGATCGTTAAGTGTTTTCCCAAAACCGTTACATCTAAATAATGTTTCCTTGTTGACCATTTTAGAAGATGATTCTCATAATGATCGATTGTCAGTTATCATTTTAAAAATGTTTCTGTAACCTCCTCTGCTTTCTTTTCATCATGCTACCCCTATAGTGTTAACAATTAAATACAAGTTGTGACAATTAACTTTTCTCCCAGACTCTAAAGGTGGTTGGGTTTTCACATGTCCTGGGACATTTGCTGATTTCACTGCATTTTCCCCTAGAATGGGTGGACACAGTGTGGGAACTGGACTTCACAGAGACAGAGCCTTTGGATCCCAGCATAGAAGCAGAGATCTTAGAGAATGGACTGAACACATTCACAAAACTCTATGAAAGTCTTTTCCCCTTTGCTACTGAAGAACATGGATCTGTGGAGGTAAAAAAATAAATGTATTGAATTTAAAAGCCAAGTTAGCCATCGTTAGCTGCTAGAAGTGCAAGATGAGAGCCATTGTTATAGCTGAAATCTTCAGTGTGGTAGTATACACTTTATAAGGGTGTAACAGTAACACAAAGAATGGTTTCTTTCTACTACTGGTGAGTGCATATACCTAGCCAAAAAAATTTTCAATGGTTCATTTACTGGGATATCCTAATAGCATTCCTCAAAAAAATTCAAGGTGCCAGTCTGGTGATTTTTTTCTTCTTTTTTTTTTTTTTTTTTTGAGACGTGACCTCATTTTGCAACAGCAAATTATATAGGGAAAGCATAAAGGCAAAAGCAAGGGAAAAAAATCTGAACAAACCGAGAATGACTAGAAGGCCGAGCAAAATGCCAAGAACAATGCAGGCATGCCTCGACTTCAAGGAAGCCTGGTGTTACTGAACCGAGAAGTGGTCAGCTGAATTACGAATGGATTTACCCAGAGATCTTTAAGTACTAGGTTCCTGACTGCAGATGGACTGACTGGGAGGAAGCTGCACCCCAGGAGTTTTAGGCACCACAGTGTGGACAGCATGGTCCAGAGTTCCAGTTATGAGAACTGCAAAGGAAGCTAAAACTAGGGACATTTTCTGAGGCAGAATTAATAGGGCTTTGTGAACGAGGAAGCCTGTGTAAGAAGTCTCAGACGTGGTGCAGAGTGCTAACCTGGCTGGATGGAGGGAGTGAGAAAGAACTCAAAGATCCCCCACTTTAATACTAAGAGGATGACGCTGTGGCCACCCACGGTGCAGAGTGAAGTAGAAAGAGCAAGGTCAGCTGTAAACTTAGGAGTTCATTTTCGGCATCTGAATGGGAGGAGAGTCCTCCGCACCAAGGTGTGGGCCGAAGGCAGAGGAAGGTTGGGAAGGGAGAGAAGATGATGGGGAAGGCATGGAGAGGGGGTGGGAAGAGGACTGCGAGTGGGAGTGCAGGTCACTGGGGTGCCAGATCTAGAGAGCGGCCTGGGGTCACATGCCCCAAGGTGACCCAGAGCTCTGGTGATGAGATGGTTGGTGACGTCCTGGGCCCGGAGAGCTGAGAAGCAAGTGGCCTTTGGAATGACTGCTGTAAAGAGAAGAGATGATTTCTTCCAGAAGTTTCCTAGGGAAGGGAAGCGGAATGACAAAGGATTGCAGGGTCTGTTCCCTAAGGTGGCACACACTGGGCGGAGGGCCTGACGCCAGGCATTAGCTCCCTCTTTCCTGGTCATTTCCAGGAAGCAGGAAGTTTAAGGCCTGATTTTTTTTTGAATTTGATAGACCTCTGCTTTTTGTTATTTTGTAAGACATCTAAGGATAAACTATACTTAATTTATAAAAATAACCCGTTTATTTTTTCTCTGTTCATTAGGGGAAAGTATGGAATCATAATAAAATTAGTATTCTATTAGTTTATTTAATCCCTTCTCCTTTCCCCTGTTGAGATTTGGGGCACACACTCACATTCGCCCAGCATGATTTTCAAACCACTTGGGTCCAGGACTCAAAGCGCTCAATGGGCCATGTGGGAGCCAGCTGCCATAACCTCCACACACCTGCTGGCCCCCCTGTTCATTTACTTCTTAATAAAAAAATGAATTAGTGTTTACTTTCTCAGCTAGGCTGCCTCCGAAATCTATCAAGGGCAGAAATGCACGTGTTTTCTTTCCTGCTCCGTTGCCCATCCACAGAGCGTTTCGTTTACATGCGCTGCTCTGGTCTCCCGCGTCCTTGGTGGCGAATGGATCTGGGTGCAGTTAGCACACATGGAGGGTCACGTCCCAGCAATCCCTGCATAGGGCGTGTGTGGTTTTAACTGTCCCAGTGCGCGATGTCCGTGTTTCAGGATTACCAACACGATTTTGGGAAAGCCTAACTGTTTCCATTTCTTACAAACTTACTTCTCTTTGTGATGTTCAATAATAAAGTTTTGACTTTGGGTTCTTATTTTTGTCCCATTGAAGCTGGTGAACATTTATCGTGAGGAGCTGAACTGGTCTGTTCCTCCTTTTGTAAGGCCCTAAATACTTGTAAAAAATAATAATAACAAAACCACACACACACACACACACACACACACACACCATCACAGGAGACTTTCCCGTTCTCTAACACTGGCTTTTGTGATGTGCCCTCTCCCCCCAGAGCGTCTGGACCTTCCTCATCGAGAACAGCATCTCCCACCGGACACTGGTGGCGCTCTTCTACCACTTCATCCAGGCGGCCCTTGGGAAGGGCGCCAGCGCGCAGTGCCGCGAGTACGGCCTTCACGCTGCCGGGCTGTATTTCTTGCTGCTGGAGGTCCCAGGTCTGTGAGGTCCACGGGTCAGGGCAGCCCCGTCCTTCCCTGCACTGTTGCCAGTACTTTGTTCCTTCACTAGAAACAGGCGCGTGCCCGCTGTCCCGTCTCGTAGAGTGACGAGGATTGAAGGAGCAAGCACGGGGCGTGTTACCGGTGTTGGGAAAATGTCTTTCCTTTATTCTCTTTTTTTCCCTAGTTTTGCTAGAAGGTATGTGTTCTCGCCAGAGACAGAGGGGGTGGGGGAGTGAGACATCGCCCCCAGGGAGCATGGCCATGCTGCACTCTGTCTCTTCTATTCTCCTCTTGGGATTTGGGGCACACACCCGGCCTGTTTCTCGAACCACCGGGTCTGGGACTTGAACTCTGCCTTAACCTCCATGCCACCTGCTGGCCCACTGTCTCTTGTTTCCTTGTGCGTGTGTTTTCTAAAAGGATGCTGCGTCTACAGCCTGATACAAATAATCTGAGAGGACAGGGAGGCTGGAGGGGTCTGCCTCTCACCTGCGAGGTCTCCTCTCCTAGCCCCGCAGGAGGTTCCAAGCCTGCTCTCCCTTCCTGTGCCACCTCTCTCCCATGTGGGTGTAAAAATATGCCAAAATTGTACTAGCCAAGAAAGCGCAAGGGAAGCGCTCAGCCCGCAGGGAGGCGCCGGGCCAGCACTGCTCTGAGTGTCCGTGTCAGAGCGCTGCGTGGCTGCCCCCTGTGGGCCATGCAGTCCCTTCCACAGAATCAGGTTATATTAATAGGGAAATAGGAGGGGCAGTGTCGAGCGTTACAGAGACGGTGGGGACAATGTGGTTAACACCACTTACTCCGCATCTCCAAGTAGCTCAAAGAGGGGACTTTGAATGCTCCCAACACAGACTAATGACAGATGTTGAGATGACAGGTCTAATTACCCCAGTTCAGCCATTATACCCGGTGCTCATGTGCTAATCGCCTTCTCACCCTTACAGATAATGTAGAATTATATGTTGTAAGAAATAACAGGGGCCAGCAGATGGTGTAGCGGTTATGTCGGTCCTGGGCCTGGTGACTTGAAACTCACACCGGGCAGGTGTGCATGTGTGTGTGCCCAAGATCCCAGGAGGACAATGGAGGAGAAGAGATTGCCGCATGGCCATCCCCCCGGGAGGTGGTTTCTCACATTCCCTCTCACTGTCTCTGTCACTCCCCACCCAATGCACGTGCCCTAAGGCAAAATCTTCTAAAAAAAGAAAGAATAGAGAGCTGATCCCATGGCACAATGGGCGTGCACTGCTCCAGAGAAGCTGGAACCATGGTGGTGGCCAAGGTTCAAATCCCCAGCCCAGTCAGCCTGAAACGTGCCAGTCGTTCCTGCGCATGCCCAGGATCCCACAAACCAGAAGGTAGAGGGCAGGGGATGAAGGCGTGACTGGATCCTGCGGAGGGTTCTCTCGCTGTCACTGTCACTGTCACGTGTACTCACATGCATTCTGTCATGAATACACAAAATAAGAAAAAAGAGAGAGAGTAGAGCCTAGAGATTGAGCTAGAAAACCCAAAGTTCTTATGGAAAAGAAAGTCATAGGGTCTGTGTGCCATCGATTATATACATGCATCTGTAATATGAAGGATTCATTCCCTGTGACTGTGGGAATAGATAAAAAGATAATTACAACCTTGAAGACCAGCAGATGGCGTAATGGTTACGTCGGTGGACTCCTACGTGATCAACCACAGTTCAAGCCCCAGACCCAGCCACTTGAAACTCATGCTGGGTATGTGTACATGCATGTCCAGAATCCCTAGAGGAGAAGGGATTGTGGTGTGGCCATACCCCCTAGGGGGTGATTTCTCACTTTTTTCTGTCTGTCTGTCTGTCTCTTTCTCTCTGTCTCTCCGGTGAGCACACTCTTCCTATAGCAAAAATAATCCTTAAAAAAAAAAAAAGCATTGAACACTGGTTTGTGTTACTGTTCATGCTCAATAATGAGGTTTGAAATAAATTCATGCAGACCTTAGCTGCTAAGCAATGTCTCAGTTGTAACTAGGCTCTCTTTTTGAAAAGGAGTTGTCTTAGAAATCCAGTTTTACTCTGTCCCTTTGCCAGAGACAGTCCCTTCTGATGAAGGCTGAGACCTGTGCCAGGGTGCATGCAGCCGTTAGGGATTGTGTGGACCGCTTATCCTTGGAGCTAATAAGCTGTATTCTTGCTCCTTCCCTCCTGCTTTTACATGTGTCTGGATTCTGGCTGAGAGGCTGATGACACTCCATATTCACTCATAGCATTATTTTCTGTTTCAGATATCCTGGGTCTCTTGCATGTCTGTGTGAAATTTAAGATCTGCTTGTAAATTTCTGCCAAAGGGCATCTGGGATTTACATTGAATCCCTGGGTCACTGTGGGGAGCACTGCATTGTAACATTGTTAAATCTACTCTGAGCACACAAAGGGTCTTTGCATTTAATTTGTTTCAGTCGTTTCAGTGTATACTCTTAATTTGTTTCAGTGTGTACTCTTAATTTGTTTCAGTCTTTTCGGTGTATACCCAGTATACTTCCTGCTTGTAAATTTCTGCCAAAGGGCATCTGGGATTTACATTGAATCCCTGGGTCACTGTGGGGCGCACTGCATTGTAACATTGTTAAATCTACTATGAGCACACAAAGGGTCTTTGCATTTAATTTGTTTCAGTCATTTCAGTGTATACCTATATACTTCCTTTGATACTGTATCCTTTTCAGTGCTATTGTAAATGCTGTTGTCTTCTTCATTTTATTTTCAGGAGGGTTATGGTTAGTGTATAGAGGTATAATTGATGTCCTGCAACCTTGCAAAACTCACTTATTGATTCTCATAGGATTTCGTTTATATGAGACCACGTCATGTATGAATAGTAGTTTTGCTCTTTGTTTCCAGTCTGGATACCTCCTATTTCTTTTTCCTGTCTAGGTGACCTCGAGTACAGTGTTGAATAGCAGCGGACAGAACGGTCATCTTTGTCTTGCCCCTAACCTCACGAGAATAGTTTTGCCTTCAGTCTGATATTATTAGCTGTGGGTTTTTCAGAGTACTCTTTGTTAAGGTTTATTCCTGGCTTATTGAGTGCTGTATTATGAAAAGGTGTTGGATTTGTTACTTGCTTTTAATCTGCCTGTCTATCTTTTTTCTTTTAATTTGCTGGAGGGCACATGTACTCGCTGGAGTGAGAGTGAGTGAACAGTAATAAGAGAGAGCTAGTGGGAGAGGGAGGCAAGAAGGCCCCTTCCATGGGGAGTGGCCACTCTGCAGTCCCCTCACCATTTCTCCCTCCCCTGGGGATTTTGAGCGTGTACACACATGCACCCAGCAGGTCCAGGACTTGAACCACACGGTTAGCCATGTAGGATCCAGCCACCTTAAACACCGCCACCAGCTGGCCTGGTTTTCCTTATTTAAAAGTCTATTTGTATTTATTTCTGTGAGCAAAAGAGACAGAAATGGCAGCCCTAACAGAGGCTTGATGGTGCGATCCCGCCCCGGCCTCAGCAGCCCAGGTCATAGGCCCGTGCGTGTCCGGTGAACTCGAGAAGGTCTCCTGATGGGAATCCGGAACTCTCCCGTGTGGATCAGCCTCGCAGAGCCTCTCGCTCTCCCACTGCACCACCGCCCAGCCCCTGCTGAAGTTTCACTCTCCTTCATGAACGTCTTTCTTTTTTTCTTTTGTTTTTCTTTCTCTCTCTTTTTTTTTTTTTAAGATTTATTTATTTATTCATTCATTCATTTTAATTTGACCAGAGAGAGACCCACAGAGAGAGAGAGGAAAGTGAGAAAGTAAGCCACCAGGTCCAGGACTTGAACCATGGCTGGCCATGTGGGAGTCTCCAACGCCTAACCACCACACCACCTGCTGGTCCCTCGTAAGCGTCTTTCTAATATCTGCTCTTGGTCGCGTCAGCCAGCCCCATGACCTGTCATTTCTGGGGCCATTTCACTAACTGATTTTTTTTTTGTCATGAGGCACATTTTCCTGCTTCTTAGCAGGCTCAGTCATTTTTCTCAGGGGATGGCAGAGTGTGGAATGTTGTCTTCCTTTAAATAGTGTTGGAGTTTTAAATAGTTTGATGTTTCGATAGGCAGCTGCCGGTGGATCAACTTGGCTCTTTGAGACTCCTTGTAAAGCTTTGTTAGGGCAGATGGAAAGTGGCCCGTACATCCATTTAGCCCTGCTTTTAAAATGTATTTCAGGGCCAGCAGATGGCATGGTGGTTGGGGCACTGTATCTCACACGGCCAATTCCATGGTTCGAGTCTCAAACCTAACAGCCTGGAAAACACACCAGGTGCATATGCATGCGTGTACAAAATCCTGAGAGGAGAGTGGAGGAGACGGACTTCTGGCTTGGCCATCCCCCTGGGGGCTGATACCTCACTTTTCCTCTCTCTGGAGAGTACACGCACTTTATAACAAAAAAAAAAAATCAAAAAAAAATTTTTTTTTTTTTTTGGTAAAATGTAACATTTTTACTGAAAGAAGGTGACCATGAATTCTCTGAAAGACAGTGAGCATGAATTCTTCATATTGATTTGGCAACTTTATTTTATTTTTGAGAGATTTTTGCTATATAGGGTGCATGAGCTTGCCAGAGAGACAGAGACAGACAGACATTCTCCCTGGGGGTGGGGAATGACCATGTACAATCCTTTCTCCTTCATTCTCCTCTTGGGATTTTGGGCATGTACACATGTTTCCAGTGTAAATTTCAAGTCACTGGCTCTGGAACTCAAACCATGGTTGACTACTTGAGAGTTCAGTGCCTTAACCCCTATACCACCTTGTGGCCCTTGATTTGGAAATTAAGCCTGCAGTTATTCTCATATAAAATATGAATAAAATAAAAATAATTGTAAGTAGATTAAAATACACAGAGATAGCATTTCCTATTCATCATTTGGAAAAACATGATAATATCACAGGTCTATCATTCATGTTACTGATAATGGCGTGACATGAGGGTGGAGATGCCCCTATCAATGACCTGTCAGTTTAGTTCAAACAGCTCTGAAAATCTTTAGCATATGCTCACAAAGAAACATGTATCAGACTTGTACTGTAGCAAGGCATAATAATAGCAAGGAATCAAAAGTTATTTAAGTAACCAATAAGGTAGAAGGGATACATACATTTCCTTGTATTCATACAAAGAAAATGTGTAAGTGAGTAAAAAAAGCAAACTAAAAAGTATAACCCAGCTGGGCCCATATCGCTCACTGCAGCCATCAAATATCCATTTTTTTTTTAAATGGTACCAATAGTTTTACCGTTTTTTTGTTTTGTTTTGTTTTGTGTGTTGTGTGTGTTACCTAACATTCATTCCCTGAGCATCATCACAATGTACTAAATGTAATTTCTAGAATAGACTGCATAGTGACTCAATCAAGCATGTTAGCATCAATAATATTCCATTTCTACTCTCATACTTATGTACACATATATGTTCTT